ACTGTAACATACCACTTGGGTAGGGGATAGTAATAATGGGGGAGGCTGGACATGAGTGAGTGGAGAATAAGTGGGAACCCACTGTACTTCCTGCTCAATTTAGCTGTTAACCTAAGACAGCTTTAAAAAATAAAGCTTTTCAAATTGATTTTCCTATGCAAAGGCACTATGTTAAGAAGATAGAGACAAGACAAAAAGAAAAAAAAAAAAAGCATCTGAAAGCTGAATTTTTTTTCAGTGGATTCCATGCCTGGTTAAAGTAAACTACATTATATCAAATCATTGTTCTTGCTAAGGGCAATTAGAAAAGGTGAATAGAATTTAGAAAATGTCTTACTTGAGTATCAAAAACCTACCAAGGCAAGGAGGACCGGAAGAACAAGAATCCCAGGGAGAAGGAGAAAAAAAACCTCAATTCTCAGAGGTACTTTTCCCTTCTATCATTTATCACCTTGGTAGCAGCGGCTGGGGGCTGGGCCCACAGCACAAAAGCTAAGGAGGCCAGAAGCTGTGTGAGGGTATTCTCAGGAGCCTGGGGAGACAAAAATAAGCATAGGGGGATAGGCCACAAGGCTACACCAGAGAACTTCAGAAGGGACCCAGAAGAACTACACTGGTGGCACATGAGATCAGCTTGCACCAACTCACAAAAGCGGACTGTGTGCATTTATTCCCAGTTCCATGTTCAGTGAAACCACATAGTTTGAAAAGGGGTAACAATGGAAGTGCCTGCACTTACACTGTGGAAAGTGGCAAATGCTGTAAGTTGGAACCCTTTCCCTGAGCATCAGTTCTTCAATACTTGCCAGCACACTGCTGGTTGCATTAAAAAAGTGAGACATGCCAAAACCAACCAACCTTTAGAAAGACTGAACATCAATTTTAAAAAATCAGTATTAGATTAAAATAATCAGTACTTATGGCAGAAGCAATATTAAAATGTTGTCCAGAAGAAGATACTAGAATCTAGAATCTACAGGGTTTTTTTGTTCAGTTTTGTTTTAAAAAAATGATCGTCTGTGCTCGCTTCAGCAACACATATACTAAAACTGGAACAATATAAAATCAACAGATACACAGAGAGGCAAGTGACCAAAATTGAAAGAACAAAATAAAAAGACAACAGAAACAAAGCAACATTAGATGCAGATATTAGAGGATTACAAGCAGACTTTAAGATAACTGACTTAAATATAAAAGAAAATGAAAATGTAATCAGGATATTGGAATCTATGAAAAACACTCAAACTGTAATTCTAGAAGTAGAAAGTAAATAATATACAAATGTGATAGGTGGATTTGACAAGAGATTAAAAACAGATGAAGAAAGGATCCGTGAATTAAAAACATACTTCACAAATCTCAGTATTACCCAAGGTCATGCCCCCATTACTCCCTTGAACTGTGCAAACTCTTCCAGAAAAATGCAGAGGAAGAAATATTTCCCACCTCATTCCATAAAGTTAGTGTTACTTTGACATCAAAATTAAGAAGATATTCTAAAAAAGTGTAGATCAATATCACCCATGAACAAACATGCAAAAAGTCTTCACAAAATATACCCAGAAAACAGAAGTACTATGTCAATGTTGCACACCATGACAAAGCAGTTTATCCTAGGAATGGGAGATTGATTAAAATCTGAAAATCATTTAATGTAGTTCACAGTATTAGACTAGGACAAAATCCAAACTATATCATTATTTCAATAGTTGAAAAGAAAGCACGTGATAAAGTTCACTTCTATTCATGGTGAAAACACACTTCGGCACCTGCATACATCAACTCTGAGAAAATAGAAAAGAACTTTAATCTCCATGCAGATAAGCTAATTTACATACTTAATGATACATTTATAAAATCTTCCTTCAAGTTTAAAAAGACAACAAAGATGAACAATTTTATTCATGAATATACTGGAAATTTTGGCTAGTATGATATGACAAGAAAAGTAAAATTTATGAAAACCAAAAAGAAAAAAAGAAACTTTAACTATCAGATTTTAATTGCATACACAGATAATGTAAAAAAAAGAGAAGTTTTCAGAAAAAATATTAGAATCACCAAGTAAATTACATGAATAAAAGTAAAATATATTTTAATGGTACTTCTAAACAGCAACAATGAAAATAAATCTTTTTTATATGAAAGAAAACATACAAGAATAAATCTAATACTTTAAATGATATGGAAGATTTGTGTATAAAAATTATAAAACATTACTGATACAAGTTAAAGATTAAAATAAATGAAGAAACACACTTCAAAAATAAAAACTTGCTACAATTTCAATGTTCATTGTCCTCAAGTTGATCAACAGAATTACTACTTCCTTAATCAAAATTCTAGCATGATTTCTAGCATGATGGGGATCAAACTTGGATCCTTGTGTTTGCAAGGCAGGAGGTGGAACCACTGAGCTAGATCCCCGGCCCTCCAGCATGATTTCTGGTAGAAGTTGACAAATTTTGAAAAGCAAAGGTACAAGAATAGAATAATATTCAAGAAAAATCTGCTAAAATAATTATATTGCCATTAGCAAGAGTTACTATAAAGTTAATTATATAATTATAAAGTTACTATAAAGTTAATCTTTTGTATTGGTGGAAAGATAAACAAACCAACGGGAAAAAAGCTCCAGGAAAGATCCATACATGTTCATAATTTATTATGAAGGTAACAAGCAGAGCAGTGAGGTAAGAATGACATTTTCAACAGATGACACTGACTCAAGTGGATACTTTACAGGGGGAAAAAAAACTTATACCTTGACACCTTGATCTTCCCCTACCCCTGATACACATCTCATACATTAAATAAAAATTAGTTCCAGTTGGACCACAGATATAAAGGTAAGAGGCAAACTGGTAAAATTTCTTGAACAGGACATTAAAGGGCATCTTCATAATGCTGGGGAAAAAGTAAAAATTTCTCAAACAGGACATGAATACAAAAAGGAAAATAAGATAATATGTCCAAATTAAAATCAAGAATGTCTAGTGTTCAAAAAAGTACCATGGGTCAGAATGAAAAAAGTTTACAGAGAGAATGAATAAATTAAATTTAGCATGACCTACAAATGACTTGTATCCACAATACATACATAATTCTATAAATCAGTGGACCAGCAACAAATCAACCCAGTAAGTCAGTTAATAAATGGGCAAAAGATCTGAGTAAGTACTTCATGGAAAAGGATATTCAAACAGACAATAAGTATATTGTTGCCCTGGTTAACAGGGAAATGAAAAAAACCACAAACAGATTACATTACATTCCCATCAGAATGTAGTGTGTTAACTTTAAAAGTATAACAAGGCCAGGTGGTAGCAACTATGTGGAGCTTTTAGCATTTTTATACATTGTTGTTGGGAGTGTAAATTTATTCAACTATTTGGGAAAACGACTTGGCAGTATCCAGTAAAGTACCTCAACTGCATTTCCTATGATGTAGCAATTATACACCTAGCAAGACACAGCTGAAATGTTGACATACCAGTGAAAAAAGATAAAAACTAGTATGTTGATGGTGCATCGGTAGCATTAGGATGTTGAAACTGTCCACTTCCCCTTTAGTAGTAGCACGGATAAATTATGGTGTATGCATGCAATGGAACATGATATAGCAATGAAAACTGATCAATTGCAGTGAATTTCAAAAATGCAGTCTAGATTCAGCAACATAATGCTAAGGAAAACAAAACAAAATTCAAACACTGATAAATTCTTTCACTTATATCAAATTTAAATCAGGTCAAACTAATGTACAGTGTTCGAATGAAGGACAGTGGTTCTTTTGGAGATAGGAAAGAATAGTATCCATTCACAGCATGACACGACCTCTGCCTTACTAATAAGGTTCTCTATTTCTCTGTATGCCTGGTGGTTTACTTTACAAAAATGTACAGCTACTGCTGTAAATGATAGACTTGTGTATGGAAAAATTATAAAGCATTACTTTGCTAGTCTAGTTTAAAAAACCTATAGGGAAGCAAAGATTTAAGAAAGAATGGATTGAAATCTGACAGTGAGCAGATCAGTAGCTCGGGATAAAAAGAACAGATAAATGCAAAAGGGTAAGATGGAATCTTGGTAAGCTGAGGAAACCGTTCTACACCCAGAGTGTGATACAGGCTACACTACCAAACATACACACTTGTCAAAATTCATCAGACTATACACTGAATGAATTTTGTTGTATGCATGCCATACCCTCAATAATAAACAATTTAAACATCTTCTTGAAGCTAGTTTTACAATTTCCCATGTTTAACCACTGAATCTAGAATCGAGTATTTTGAGACTATTAATTTCTGAAGCATCCTGAGAAGCAGTTTGCCTTTATTTGATCTCAAGATTATTTATGCTCATTTTGAGTCATCTTATTCTGTTGTTTCTTATGAACATGACAGGATGACGATAAATAGAGGTTTAATGTGAATTCAACACACACAAATGGATGAACAGGTAGATACAGCACAGAGAAAGCAGTCATCAGATCTCTCCCTTGGAGACCTAGGAAAACCACAGTGCTTCCAACTTATGAAAAGAGCCTCCTAATAAGCAGGGAAGTGTGAAACTTTCTTTGCTTGTAGATATTAACATTAAGTTTATATATTTTGTAGAGCCGGGGGCTGAATCCAGGGCCTTCTGCATGCTAGGCAAGTTCTCTACCACTGAGTAACATTCCTAGTCCGTGTTTAGATATATCTTGAACTTTGAAACTTCCAAAGATTTATCTTACATATGCAAATGTTAGGCAGTAATTAATAGTTTTCTGTTTTTCTCCACAATGATATTTGAACCTCACTACTGAAAAGGAGAAAAAGGTGATATTTAGCTACCTTTTAACTCTTCCTTAGACTCCCTACTGGATCAGCTTGGAATTTTTTTAGCTGAAGGGTTACACCCTGAGCAAGTACATGGTGCTGGCCATGTAATCCAGCTTCATTTTTATAGAAGTTGGCATAAAACAATACTATACAAGGAAAATCTCTCACCACTTGTGTTGGAACTTGTTCCATTTTTGCAGCAGGAGTTCCTGGTCTTGGGTAAAACTGGTTAATGAAGAGGCTTGGAAATTTGTACTCTTCAACGAGTTTCACCGTTTCTTGAAAATCCTGATCTGTTTCTCCAGGAAAACCACAGATAATATCTGTAGCAATAGTTATTCCAGGAACTCTAGAAAATAACAACACAAAAATGTAAAAAGCTGAAAACAGGCCATAATTATTCTACTTCCCAGACATTTTAAATACCATTAATTTCAAAATTACATTTTATTTTTAGGAAAGGGACACTTGCAAAAGCACTAAACACTAAACATTTACAAAGAAAAACAGTGACCTCTTGTCATCCTCAAAGACTCCCATTTTTAATTATTTGAGATATTTCTCTGTTCTTTCCTCTATATTTAAAAATAGATGCTTATTCCGTTGTTTCCAGATTTATTGAATTTTAGGTAACATTTACTGACTTTTCTATTATGGTAAATGAGATTTAGCTCTTAAAGTAATCTAACCCTGCTCTTGCCAACATAATTGGCATACAGTTTCCAGTTGAATTAATAGTACTTTCAGTGGTATTGCTGCAAAAATACTGCTCACTGGTAGAGTTAAAGAAAAAAAAAATCAAGTTTTGTTTGTCTACACTTACTTTATCATCTAGGGTAAAATATTTATCACACAGATACCCAAGGATGGTCTGACAACCTTTTCCTTTTTTCCTAGAGTTAATAGTTGCCTTTTAGAAATTTTGCTTATATTCTATGTTCCTATGCTAATGTTATCCAGATGTTTCTCTAAACACCCAATGTATTATACAGATTTTTTTTTCATTTCTTCAGGTGTGTATGCTTTTTGTTTTTTGTTTCAGGGATCAACCTGGGACCTTGTAATAGTATGTTTAAAATTTTTTTTCCTTTTTAAAATAATTATCAAACTTACATTGGAAAAATGATAAGTTGTAAGGCCATTTTCCTAACTAAAGCATGTGGAACAGAAAAATTATGTAAATAATTTTCAAATAGCTAGTTTTATACTTGCCTTTTAACTACTGATGAAAAGAAATCCACAGTAAAAATAAAATAGATAACAGCAGATAATGAGAGAAGTCTACTCCCCAGGAAATTGGATCAATCAATCAATCTTGGAAACTGAACGAAAAATACTACAGGAACAAGGAAAATGGGTTATTGTCCTAATCTATGAAATGGAATGAACTTGGCAATAGAGTATGGGTGTTCCCAAAGGAAAGTCCCTTACTGATTTTCTCCCATCCTTGTTTTATAATAGCTGAGCTCAGATTTATGTAACACCTGCTTACTTCAGCCTTAAGGTCTAGTGAACAAGAAAGACAAACCTGTAAGTGAATCATAATAATGTTAAGGAAAGGAATAGTCAATACATGGATGTATTTGATAATCAATGCAAAACATAGACTGGTAATATAAGGCAGGTCAGTATGAATTAGTGACATACTAGTAAATATTTAAAGAAGCAGTTTAATTGATTTCAAAGTATATAAGATATTAGCTGATTGCTTATAAAATGTTTTTAAAGCAGGCGTTACACTTTAATTTTAGATGAGGCTCATCTATACATTAATTTTATATATGCAAATGATGCTACTTACATTCTCAAAAATAATTTGGTCCTTTAGGTGATCTGACTAAAATCTCATTTACACTGTTAATTTGCCTACCAAATCAAAAGAAAATCAAAGAAGCTTGAAGTGGAACAAATTCTAACTTTAATATCATATGATTTAAGTGGCTGAGGGGAAATTATGAATAGAAAATGAAATATTAATCTAAATACTTAAAACGTTAATTCTGCACACTGTTTTTTGAAATGCTGTGAATTTTCAAAATACCAAAAATTTAAAAAATTACCATTTCTACAAATTTATTGAAGCCAAGAATATAACATATGTAACCACTTAGCAAGTTTTCTTGAATTTTAAAAAATTTCTAGATTTATGTTTTCATAAAACTTTGAGAATACTTCTATTTTTTTGTTTTTTATGTTGAGAATACTTCTAAAAGAAATATGAAAATAAAAATGTTTAATTAGCTTAAATTGACTTTTTTGTTTTACATTTATGAGGAAAATGCATTTGTTGAATAACTTGAGAATAGAGTAAGAAAGATTTTAGTTATGTATCTAACCTTGTCAGAAGTAGTATTCCATTCAGTTATGAAAATCTATCAGGACATGTGAAATGAGTATATACGATTTACTAACTGTAGACTGAGCTTTAAAACAGCCTCAGATATTTGAAGAGCTAATCATTTTATCAGGAATAAAATACACACATGTATACACATGTCACACTTTGAATATTTGAAATATACTTAAAACATTATACTTTAATTGATTTCAAAATTTTCAGTTGTAATTTAGTGTTTCATTGGTAAAAACCTGAAAAACAGTTATTCTACTTCATTGTTTAAATCAATAAATTATGAACTTCAAATTCTAAATGTGAAAAACTCAAGACTGATACATATGATACTTATCTCACAGGAAAAAGATAAAGAGAAAAAGATTTGAGCCATCAAAATTATTAGGCATAAAGAAAATATATGATTAAAATAATAGTATTAAAATTCTGGGACAATTACTAAAATTTTTGAGAAAGTAAACTGGAGGTAGGTAGAGGAGAAAATATACTTAAATGAAAATGAAAACATCTGAATGTATGGTGTGCTCATAAAGCAGTCTTTAAAGAATAAATATAGATTTAACGTCTATGTTAGAAAGATAATCTAAGCTTTGAACTCAAGCATTTAAAGAGAAAAAAACCAAACTCAAAGTAAAATGAAGAGAAAATAATAAGGTGAGAAATCAATGAACTAGAAAACAATAAAAGCAAAATATGCACCTTTGAAAAAACAATACAATTACTAAAGTATTAGCTAGACTGAGGAAGAAAAAAACAGAAGATACAAGTGACCACCTTCAGACACATAGGAGGGGACATCACTACAGATGTTACCAACATAAAAAGGACACCAAAGAGTATATTATAAACAATTTATGCCAATATATTCACAACCTAGATAAAATGGACAAATTCTTCAAGAGACAAATTACAATAATAGGTTCAAGGGGAAACAAAATGTGAATATACTTTTATTTATTACAAAATTAAATTTATATTTCACAATTGTGCTATCTAGAGAAGACAACCCAAAATGAAAAATCCTAAGTCCAGATGGCTTTAGGGTGAATTCTATCAAACATTTAAGAAAGAAAAAAAAATTGATTCTATAGAAACTATTAAGACAGATAAGAAAGAAAGTCATTTTGTAAGTCCAGCATTAGCCTGTTCTTCAAATTAAAGGGAGACTGTAAGCAAACTGAGTCCTGACCATGACCACAGAGACCAAAAGTCTTAACAAAATATTAGCATAGGGATCCTGGCAACATATAAAAAGCATTATATATTATGACCACATTTTAAATGCAAGGTTGGTCTTACACGCAAATATGATTTAATGTAATATGTTATAGTAAAGGAATAAAATATTTTTTAAAAACCCTATGGTAATCCTAATGGCAGAAAACTCAGTTGACAAATCGGACAGCCATGAAAAACATAGAGCTAACACCACATATGTGTTGATGAAAAACAATGTTATTCCACTAAGATTGGTGAAGAATTTTTGTTCTTACTTATCGTATTACTGAGGTTCAGTCAGTACAGAAGAGCAAGCAATAGAAATTAAAGGCATATACTGTGTATCGAAAAGGAAGAAATAAACTATCTTTCCTACAGGTTATATGATTTTACCTGTGGAAAATCCAAGGAAAGCTAATGAATCTACTAGAATCTGTGAATTCTGCAAAGCTGCAGGATAGAAAATCAATATTCAAATATGAACTATATTTTTATATATTAATTATGAAAATTTGAAAATGAAATCAAGAATAGAATAAAACACTTGCAAATAAATTTTGGAAAGGGAAGTGAAAGTGATTAGAAGAAATGAAACTTTCTTAGAATTTGCTGGGAAAATTAAAGAAAAATATAACATTTTCATTGTTTGGGAAAAAATATAATTTTTTTCACTAATGATATATTAATGTGTATAAAATATGTATTCATAGATTTAATGCAACTACTATCAAAATATCACCATTTTTTAGCAGAAACTGACAGATGTATTCCAAAATTTATATAGGCATGCAAAGGAATTCAGTGTGGGAAAAAAATTGGACGAAGAAAACAGTTGGTGGAATTTATGAACCTGATTTAAAGATTTATTATAAAGCTAAATAACCAACACAGGGTGGTATCCATATATGGATAGATCAACAGAATAAAGAGGGTTGAAACAAATGTATATACCTATACATTTATAGTTAGTTTTTCAACAATGTTGTAAAGTCAATTCAATAAGGGCAGGAGGCAAAGTGTTTTTAACTCATGGTGCTAGAACAACTGGAATATATATATATATA